GAGAGAGAGAGAGAGAGAAGCAGAATTGATCAGTTTTCCCATCACCAGCAGAATGGGAAAGAAAATGGAGGGCGAAGCTCACCATAGGTCCACCCAATTGGATCAATTGAAAGTAGCAATTGGCCCTCCTAAAGACCCAACAAGCAGCTGAAAGAGTCAGATGCAGATACTTACACCCAACCAATGGACAGAAGCTGCTGACCCCTGTGGCTGAATTAGGGGAAAGCTGGAAGAAGCTGAGGAGGAGGGTGACCCTGTAGGAGGACCAGCAGTCTCAATTAACCCGGACCCCGAGATCTCTCAGACACTGGACTACCAACCAGGCAGCGCATACCAGCTGATATGAGACCTCCAACACATATACAGCAGAGGACTGCCGGGTCTGGGTTTAGTCAGAGAAGATACACTTAACCCTCAAGAGACAGGAGGCCCCAGGGAGTTTTGAGGTCTGGTGTGGTGGGATGGGGGGGGTGGAGAGTGGGGACATCCTCAAGACAGGCGATGGGGTGGAGGTATGGGATGTGGAACAGGGAGGGGAATAAAATCTGGAGTTTAAAATAAATAAATAAATAAATAAATAAAAGATTAAAAGTAACAATTGGACCAACTGAAAAGTAACATTTCAATGAAAGTGGAAGAGCATGGGAAAATATATTGCAACTAATACGTTCCGTTCCGTTCCGTATCCAGCCATCTTGGCTTTGCGTGAAAACCTGTGCAAAATGAGAGCATCGGGAACCAGCAGAACAGCAGTGGGTGAGCTAGTAGGGGGGCAGCAGGAAGCAAAGGATGGACCTGACATACTGCCCTGTGGCTGGATTTCCAAACCAGAGGAGAGTCAGTGAAGCAGAGGACAGATGGAAGTTAGTTGTGGACCACATTTGTACGGTGCTTATGGCATGGAACACGTGCCATCTAAGGACACTTGCTTGTTTTAAGGGCAGAGGTGGAATGTGCAGTTATCAATGGAGGATAAGACTTGCATTAATCAAGGTAGACCTTGTGCACCAAGTGCTTCGAAACACGGGTACCACAAGCATCAGGTTCCTGTGGAGAGACGAGGCTTTACAGGAGGAGTCCCGAACCGACACGCTTGGCTTGGTCTGGCCTCAAAGGATTCTCTGCCATGTTGTGATATAGCCGGGTGACTCTCCCCACGTGTCAGCAGATGCTGGCAACATGCTCCTGGACTTCTCAGGCTCCATAGCCCTGAGTCAGATAAACTCACATTCTTTGTAAACTGCCAGTTTGTCATACATAAGGAATTATAGCAGCAAATACCAAAGTCTCCATAAACAAAGAGTCAGTTAAGTTTTGAGATATGTGGTCATCTTATAAATTAGCACTTTGGGAAAGTACACAGCTGTAGTGAGAATCTTGGTTTCTTTAAAAATAAGGAATGTCATGTGAATATCATGTGTTTTTTGTTTTAAGCCCAGGGATATGGGCTGCTTCAGATCGGCCACATCAGCTGACTATGATTTGTCTTGTGCTCTGGCAGGGGCATGATTTTGCCTGCTAAAGATAGTTTACATTTGTAGTTCTGGGAACTCTTGAGAGGGTATAAAAATACCAGAAGCCCCTAGAGGCTGTGGCGGGTGCTATTCCCTGTTGTAGCTCTTGATGTTGTACCTGGATGCTCTTTGTTGGGTTGCTGGTTGCTGATTGAAGATATCTTGCAGACTCAGATTAGATTGCCCCCAAGGAACTCTTAAGACCCTAATCAGCAAGAAGTGGTCTAAAGAGATAGGCACCCTTTTCCCCTCTAACTTTCTTTCTCTCCTACCTGGTGTTGGAGGGGTGGAGGGTGGAAAGGGTGGTAGAGGGAAAAGAATCCAATAAAAGTCAAAAGTACGGTTACAGATAGCCATGGCCTAGGGCGCTTAACCCATCTGTCATACTTTTTGCTAATGGCTCTTACCCATTTATTAGCCTCTTGTTACTGTTTCTTGTTGCTTTGTGATTGCTTACAGTTACAGATGAATACACATACTGCACACACATGGGAACCTTTACCTCAGCAACAAATTTTAGGCAACAGTCAAATTGTTTCAGAAAGAAGATATTGCTACTTGCATACTAGAATCTAGTATGTATGTATGTATGTATGTATGTATGTATGTATTATATATGTATATACATATAAATGTCTATCTATCCATCTATCTATCTATCTATCTTTCTAATCTATCTATCTTCTGGAAGTACTTCAAGAGAAAGGCTTGTGAGTCTTGAATTACAAAGTATCCATTTCAGAAACATGGCACCGACATTCCTATACTTGGGATACAGATTGTTTTCCCCTCTGGTACAATTTAGCCAGTGTCGAGAGACAAGAAAGCTGAATTTAGACAACTTGAAGAAAATGTAGGATCGTTGAGCTTTTGAAGCTGATTGCTCACACTTAGAATGGTTAAGCTCCTTCTAAACCAGTAGGATCTGTGGCCTGCCACCTTCCCCAAGATGCTTCTCTAGAGGTTCTAAGATCCATGCAGGGTTTCCAGGCTTCCAGGAAGAATTTACAGCAGAACTCTGTGTAGGTTCTGACTGCACTGGCGTACCTATGTGCAACGTCCCATGGCTAGAACCATAGCTAGCATGGGAGGTGTTGGATGCAGCTCACCGCTGGTCTCCTATGGCTGTCCCCCCAACGCCTACCAGGGTTGACTCTTTTCCTATGCACTTACAAAGAACTTAGCCCTTCTGTAAGATCTCAGTAAACCCCTTGCTTCCACTGAAGCTTTGATAACCTAACATCTATACATTCCAGATAGTGCCTTTCAGAGTCTTTCTCAGACCTGCGTTTGAAGAACTTCCTCATGGGCCTACCAGTCCAGACCTTTTATTTAATTGCCATCAGGACTTTCAAAACTTTGATCGCAACCATTCCAACAGAATGGAGGTGTCATGGTCTTCATTCCTCAAGACCATAGGATGCCAAGTGACCCATCGTATTGTCCAAGAAAGAGCAAAGGGGCACACACCCCAGTGCAAACTCACACTTTTGTAGTTCAACAGGTTTCGAGGACGCAACACCTTTGGGGGCCGATAGCTTTCAAAACACTATTTAAATATACGTGAGGTTTTTTTTTCACACAATGCACAAAAGCAGAGGCGTCATTTTTATAGCTAAACAATTTTATTGGCTTTCTGTGAAATAAAAAACAAAACAAAACAAAAAACACGAAACAAACCATCGTGGTTAAAGGCGGATCAGTGTCAACCAAATGAACCAGCCACTTGGTTCGAGCAGCCGTGAAGAACATGAGAGGATATTATTGCTTATGCCCCATGTTCGTGCATGTGCATGTGTCTGTTGTGTTTTGGCAAGAGTACAGTCAGATGGAGCTTTGGTTGTTACGTTCAACTAGGACTACTCACTGAAAAACAGAGCCTCCAGGTGGCTATATGCTACGTCTCCTTCATCAGCCATTTGCCCTATTAACAAAGTTAAGGGGGAAGGCTTAATCAGTGCCCTGCCCCGTCCCGCTGCGCCCTGCCCCTGCTGCCCTCTTTGCCTTGAGAGGGTGGTGCCTTCCTGGGTCTTTCTAAGTTCTTGTATCTGGTTATGTGGCCATGTCAGAAACAAATGCCTGCCTGTGGTCTACACAGATTTCCAAATCCATATGGCATTTGGAGTTTGGACTCAACTGTCTCTTTCCCATCATCTTCAGAAAAAAAGAAAAAGAAAAAAAAAAGAGAGAAAGAAACCAAAAAATAAATGAAAAAAAAAATCAATAGCCCTTATCGACAATGAGGTGACTTCCCAACAGGATGAGCCCCGGTGTTAGACACACAGCATCCAGTGGTAGTTGTAGAGCTGTGACTCTCTGATGGTTGTGTGTGTGTGTGTGTGTGTGTGTGTGTGTCTGCACACATTAATCTGCAGGGAGGCAATGATGTTGATGCCTCTTGCGAGCTCCCCTGACCTTCCCTAGGGACCGGGGGTCAGAACTACCACGTAATAGCACCATTCCCTATGCTCTTAGTATCTGGCTCCTTTCCCTGCTGGAGAAGGCAGGACCTGGTCCCCCGCTTCATGCTTTCACAGGTTCTATGGTGAGACCTCGGTAGAAGCAGGTGGTCTGCCTTGGCCTACTTTAGTGGTGACCTGAATTTTCCCTGGGAAGAGTTAAAAACAACCCAAAATGTGTCTTACAAAGTGAAGTTGGCCACAGGTGTGAGGCCGAAGTAACAGACCTGTAGACTGTGGGATGAGCCTTTTCCCCTTCCCTTATCTCTGTTCAAGCCCCCGGAGGGTTTGCTGGTAGAAGCACAGCAAAATCAAAGAACACTAAAAGCCACCAACCCTGACACAGTTATCCAACAGAAGGACTTGACTCCACTGTAGGGACCCAGGTCCGGAAGTCAGTCTTGCCCCTGGTAGGACTGGGGTTGAATAAGCCCTTCTAATGATTATAAGAATTATCCTCTTTGAATGTAGACATTTTAAACAGTGGGCTATTAGCCCTCACCATAGTTTATATGGCACAGATAACCATATAATTACTAGCACTTAAAAAGGAAATCTTGTAAATAGGTAATTACACCAATGTAATTCATCGGAACAAAGATTAAGTGCTTCCAGCTTGTTCTTTAGGCCATTTCAGCCTGTCTCTTTACTTCACAACAAAAGGATAACTCTGTAATTAAGAGTGACGCTCGGTGGTCACGTGGGCAACTTCATGGTCAATGTGTGGACTATAAAATAAAGTCATATACAGTATTGTCATTTCAGCGAGATGTAAGAGTTCATAGAAAAATATTCTCCAATCTGGAATCTGAGACACGAAAGCTGGGTTTTGTTTTTCTTTGTATCAAAAGGAACAAAATAACGGACTAAAGTGTAGTAAAGCTTCCTAACAAGGAGGAGGAAAAAAAAGACATTATGGGCTGAAGGAATTCGGAGAGTCAGTCAGCTTTCCTTTTATGTCCCGGCTCGTTGATGGCAAGTTTGTGCTTTGATCCTGGTGGAGATAAATGCACACAAGTGGCAAAGCCCAGTGCCCCAAACCCTTAGCCGCGCGGATGGCTAAGGAGACTGGTTTTTACAGTAGAGCTAGCTGTCAATGGTGGAGGTGGCCTTAGCGGGTGACCGTCCCCTCTCTCCTCCTCCTCAGGCGACAGCTGGGGACGAATGCCAGAAACACCATTTTCTCCTCGAGTGGTGCTTGTTCAGTGCCAGGTCCTCTTTCTCTCGTTCCCTCTTCACACGCTGGTAGTGGTCTTCCTCCTTCAGGTACCACACAGGGGGCCAGCGGTGCCGCTCAAAGTACTCCTGGTTGTCTGGGGGAAGAGAGGGAGAGATACTGTCTGTGATTCCTGCTGCCTGAAGACTGTCCTGAATGCTCGGTCTTGTTTTATGCATGCTGACATGTGGGAGCTCTGACCAAGGCTGTCCACAGATGCTGACAAGGAAGTCTAACATGTAGAATCTATACTAGGCACACCAACCGACCCCAAACCACTTGATTTTTTTCTTTTTGAGTTGCAGCTTGACCCTGGCTGTGCACCCCTAAATGAGGCTTCATTTTGGTATGCTCAGCAGCAGGGCACCCTCAATCCCACTCAGGGGATTAAGTAAGACATCCTGGGAAGAGATCCCCCAACCAAAAATTCTCTGGGTCACATCACTTGACTATGTGACTACCGCAACGAATGCTCAAAGGGAACTGACTAGGCAGTGCCGGTCGAGTCTGGTCCTCCCAAGGGTTTACAGAGAGCAAGGGATGGATGGCAGGGAGCTCACGTGCATGCGCTTACCTGCGGACTTAGATTTGATTTCCTTGCGGAACTTGGAACAGACGCTGTTGTAGTTGGTGCAGATGTGGTGGAGACACCAGGCGGCTAGCTGGTTGGCATTGTGAAACTGCAGGAAGGGGACCAGATTGGGGTCAGGCTCTGTTTGCTGAAGTGAGGCAATGGGCCAGTGGTATGGCTCAGCAGGTCAAGGCGCTTGCTGCCAAACCTGATAACTGAGTTTGGTCTCCGGGACCCCGTGAAGAAAGAAGGGGCCTGACCTCTTGCAATTCGGCTGACCCCCAAAAGGCATGCACACATGCACACATGCACACACATGTGCATGTACACATGGGCAATAAATGTTACAAAAAAATTAAAGCAAGCCTAGACCTCCGGATTTTGACTTGGACTGTGGCTTTGATGTCAGCCACATACAGTGTTCATATACCCCTCCCCCCCACCCCGAGATAGATGGCCCTCAAAATAAACTTCATATGGCACTGAGAGTTTCAAATATGCCTGGCTCTCCTGCCCGGCCTGCCCCCCGGTCCCTCTGGTGAATAGGTGACCACGCGTGCCCTCTGGAAGGTAGCAGCCAGCAGCAGATAGAAACGATGTCATCTCTGTTTACGGAGCCTTAGCAACAGAATACTCCGTGTCACATGTCAGAGCTCAGCTCGCTGGGGCCAAAGATGGAAAGCAGAGAAGGCAGCATGCAGCGGCCTGCCCTCTGGTTGTGTAAGAGAGGGCATCTGGGTGAGGTGGAGGGGGGGGGTCTGAATGCTCCACCCAGGTTTTCTGAGCCTGGGGAGGTGGTGGCTGATGTCCCCCAAACCTGATGGTTCACTCTCTCATATCTCCTCTGATCTGGCAGGATACCCTTTGCCCCTCTTCATGTACCCTGTATGTTCCTTCGGCTAATGGGGGAGCTTGGGAAAGACAGCATTGTTCTTCTGATGCTTGGCTATTTAACCCACGAATGAAAGCCACTCCAGGGAGACAGAACTCATCACCTCAGTCATGGAAATGGTTGGAGGCTGGTCCTTCCAGCTTCTCTACATGTTCAGTTTGACTCTGAGGTTAGGATTGGGGCCGTGGGGTACTGGGTGGGGGTGGGGCTGTCTGAACTAGCCCAGGGAACGGGCTGCATGATTTGCTTCCCCAATTTGGGCTTAGTGCCTCAGTCTTTGGTGTTCAAACTGGTCGCAGTGGGAAACCCTCTCTGGGCTAAAGGCTAAAGGATGGGCTAAGACACAGACACCATGCTCACTTCCTGTTGGGGTTTGTCTGGGCTTAGTAATCACACCACAGCCTGGCACCGGGCGTGTAGGCAGGTGGGGAGGAGCCAGGAGGGAAGATAGCAAAAGGGTACATCTTTACTCCTAGTGAACTGTCCAGTAGGGCACGCTGATTCTATTTCAATTTCTTCTATGCAGGGTACTTATGGAGAGAATCAAATTTTGGACTGCTTGTTCTGATGAAGCCTTGGGGTTTCTACTGCAATGTGTTATTGGCCCTCATTGAATGGGTTTTCAGATTGGGTTTTAGGAATCTGTGTTCATGTCCATTTCTCTCCCGTGCCTTTGAATGCAGAGAATCTGCTGCTTAGAGATAGTTGAGGGACTTGGGAATCACACAACAAGTACTTGTCGAGTGTCAAGCCAGGGGGACTCGGCCGGCCGTTCCAAGTCCCAGTCCTCCTCCCCATGAATGGAGCGATCACCTATGGCTACGCTTGGCTGGGCTGAGCAACATCTGCTATACTTCCACTGTCCCCTTTCTGAGGCTACCTCCTGCCCTGTGGTTGGGAAATGTCCATTTAAATGGCCTGACCTAAAACTTAGTTAGCACTGCCCTGAACACAGAAAGTCAAATTCCACAGGTGGAAAGGAAAACGCACACACGCACACACGCATGCATGCACATAGTATGCGTACTTACGTACGTAAGCACGCACTTACACACAACAAAACATCATGCGTTCAGAACTTATTTTTCATCCTTGAGTCCCCAGAGTGTAAGTGGCTGTTGATACGTCTATGCTGGGACTGGATCATTCTGCCTACGCACTCTGCAGTGTTAGAAAACCTTCCATCTTTGCTTCACAGCTCTTTCTTGAGCATTCTTTCTCCCTTGGTTCTCAGTCTGTAAGGTTGGGAGGTCACGGATTGCTATTTTGCTGTCTTACGGATGGGATGAGGAGATGGAGGCGGAGTTTTACTTTGTGCCCAAGGCTTTAGTTGGACATTACTTTTCTTTGGAAGAGGTGTGTGTGTGTGTGCTCACGCGCGTGCACATCTGCGCACATGCACGGATGATGTTTGTGTAAGGATCATGGGCACTGATAATAGCAAACCTGATTTAGAAAACACCAGGGGAGCTTCAGCACACTGTTTGTTTTTGGGGTCAGGGGGTGTGTACAAAGCTTTATGGAATGTTCTAGAAACTGTCTGTTCTTGGCCATATACTTGTCCAAGAACGCAAAGAAAGAAGAGGCAAGATTTCCCCCTAAGCTGAATGCTCTGTTGTGTATAAAATCACTGTCTCAGGAGGGTGAGGCAGGTATTGGAGGGAGGGGGTCCCTGCTCTTTCTGGGAAGTGTAATGTCGACTGTAAAACACATATGGGCACACCTCTGTGACATCTTTAATTTGGGCAGATGTGACGGTGGGATATTTTGTCATCGTGAAAGTGGGCTCACGGGACACACACCTGAGATGGAAGGTGAGAGCCTGCAAACTTACCTGCGCCAGCTCCAAGTAGGAGAGTACTTCACCATCGATGCCCACTCCACTGACAGCGGCCTTGGTGAGCTCCTGGACAGCGTGCTGCTCTGGGGAAGAGAGGGTAGGAGAGGGTTAAAATGCCCACCCTAAGCTAGCTGCCTGGCCTGGAGGGGCTGGTCTGTGACCTTTAGAGAAAGGCAGGAAGTGAAGGACACAGTTCTGGGCAGACACTGGAAATGAATCTAGGGCTGATTCAGTCTCCAATCAAGGCATTTAGGTCTCTAGGCTAGCAGTTCTTAACCTGGGTCTCAGCTCCTTGGGGGGCTGGTGTTGGTGGTGTCACATATCAGATATCCTTTATATCAGACAGTCACATTACGATTCATTACAGTATCAGAAATACAGCTAAGAAGTGGCAATGAAATAATTTTATGGTTGAGGCGTCTCTATAACATGAAATGTAGTTAAGGGTCTCAGTGTTAGAAAGGTTGAGAATCACCGTTCTAGAGGGTTCTGGGTCTGTGCTTCTAGAATATTCAGAATCCTCTAGACCTTCCTGATTCTGCCTAGGATGATAACTGTGGGTCGTATGTGACTATTAAAAGGTAGATAATTAATATTTAGTTCATTGGCCACACCGGCCCTGTTAAGTGCTTAGTAGCCACACGTATTCCAACTTGGAATGTGCAGACATGGGACATATCCATTGCTGGAGGATGGTTTCTACTAGGCAGCATGGTTTCTGGGAGTCTAGCATGTCTATAGGATCCTCTAACTCCAGTCATGATCCTGTGTGAGTGAATCTTCAAAGACTGAATCGCAGAGGACCAAGTCTACTTGGGGAATTAGGCACTGAGGATGTAGCTGAGATGGTGTAGTGATTGTCTACCATGCCTGAAAATTTGGGTTTAATCCCCAGCGCGGCATGGTCCACACCTGCAATCCCATCACTTGGGAACTGGAGGCAGAGGAATGAGAAGTTCAGGGTTATTCTCAGCTACATAGTGAGTTTGAGGCTAGCCTGGGCTACCTGAGATACAATGTAGCTAAACAAAACAAAACAAAACAAAACAAACAAGACATAAAATGTGAATGTAAATATGTTGGTCTCAACAGTTACAAATAGACCACCCACAGTCCAAGCTTTTGGGTTATAAAGATGGAGAAGAAGACTGGTCTTATGTAATTAAAACTCCAGCTTGGGAGAGTGGTGTCTGCTTATGAGCTTGGGCCCAGCTTTGAATGCTTGAGTTTAAATTGTGGTTCTGAGGCTGGGGGTGACTTTTTTGTTGTCTCTGCTTGGAAGTCTCCAGCCTCGGGTTAGCATGGGCGCGCGAAGTTCTGGTGTAGGAGTTTCCAGCTTTTGAAAATGACAGCGTCAGGGGTGCTGTGGTGGCTCCCCGCACTGCAGGCTGAGCCCTTTTGACTTGAGTTTCTGTTTACTACAATTGCAGATGAAGAAGAGGAAAAGGAAGAAGAGGAGGAGGAAGAAGAAGAAGAAGAAGAAGAGGAAGAGGAAGAAGGAAGAAGGAATGTAAATGTTGTGTTCATCCAGCCTCGGGCCACTTCATTGTTTTCTCAATTGTGTGGGCTTACTTTGTGCTTCTGTCCCCATTCTGGTAATTCCTACACTATTTCATACTTTTTAATTGTTATTAAATGATGAGAAATGATTGGTAGTAGACCTACATAACACGGTGAACTTAATAAATGTTGTGTGTATCCTGACCGCCCCACTGGCAGGCTTACACATCCTGGGTCATCTCTCTCTCCTTAAGCCTTCCAGTCCCTTGATGCGACTTACTGTGGCTTCTAAAGGTTCAAGTGAGAGAAAGGAAGCGCTCTCCTTTTAACCCCAAAGATAGAAATGATGATTAAGTTTAGTAAGGAGGGGCTGGAGAGATGGCTCAGAGGTTAAGACCACTGGCTGCGCTTCCAGAGGTCCTGAGTTCAAGTCCCAACAACCACATGGTGGCTCACAACTGTCTGTAACTCCAGTTCCAGGGAATCCGACACCCTCACAGAGGCATACATGCAAGCAGAACACCAATCCACATAAATAAATAATTTAGTAAGGAAGGTATATCAAAAGCTAGGATGGCTCCAAAGCTAGCCTGCCAATTGTGAAGTGGGTCTTCCCAGAGACATACTCTTACAGGTCTAGATAGATCAACCCAGGTACAACATCCCCTCAGCCATGCCTACTCCAGAGCAAGATCAACTCTCTTCAGTTCTACTAAGGTTAAGACAAGCCAGCAGAGGCTGCTTTGTGGGGTTGAAGGAAGGACACTGTCACTGTAACAGATAGATGTGGAGGTGACATAGTAAATGAGTCGATGAGGAGTTGTAACAAATCACACAGAAGTTCTGGTTCTAGCTGAGGACAGCTCCCTATGGAAGAGAACCTCAGCATGAACACAACAGCCTTGTGCTGAAGGAGGCACCATCCGGAGCCTGCACAGCTAGAGAGACATCCTCTCCTGGCTAGTTTCAAAGACTCAAGGGATGGCCCAACCATCTTGCTGGGGACTGAGGTAGCTGTTGGCTTTAGGTTAAAGTGGATCTTACTTCCTACATGAGTCTTGACGTCCTGTTCCTCTAAGATCCTTAAAAGGACTGTCAAAACTGGAGGGAAGAGTGTCTGATGTCCTGAGTATCAGAAGCCCAGGGTTGTGGTTTCCCTTCTGTTGTGAAGAAGCATGCTGACAGAGAGCAGCTTAAGGAAGAAAGGGCTTAGTTGGCTTACAATCCCAAAGGCAGAATGGTCGTATCGCACACGGTTGCAAAGATGGCAGACTTTGAATATTATCTATAAACTGTCTGGTAAATGGGTAAGGGGGGTTAACTCAGTCAAAACCCTTTCCATGTCAGCATGAGGATCAGAATTTGGATCCCCAGAACCCTTGCAGGAGCCAGGCAGGCTTTATGGCAGCTGCCTATGATCTGAACAACGGGAGGCAGAGCTCTCTGGGGCAAGCTGGCTAGCTCCACTGAGACCCAGGGTCAGCAAGAGACCCTGCCTTAATAAGTAAAGTCAAGAATGATTGAGGAAATGCCTGATGTCAATGTTGGGCTTCCATCTGTGTGAGCACACTCATGTATCAGCATCCACACACAGGTGCGGCTACACACACCCACCCATGTACGCAAGCGTACACACCTACGTGGAAAAAGCCCAGAGGAACTGGAAGGGTTTGGAGATGTTGACTTCCATTTTGACAGGCATTCTACTGAGGGGAAATCACCATCAAACGGGATCTCTGTACTACAGAGGGACCGTCTATGAAAAGAAGGGTCAGTTGGTGAGCTGAACGTGGATGTCACCTGGTCAGAAGAAGCTGCCTCAGCTACTGTGACCTTTAACCCCACCGCCTTGATCAACTACACATATCAGGGCCTAGGCATAAAGCTTCCACTGTGACTAGAGGCCAAGAGGGTGGCTTGGCTTTATTTTAATTTTCTAAAGCAATTATTGTTATTAGATATTTTGGTGAAAGTTTCTCCATTTTCTAGAGGTAATGCTGCTTTATACTTAACAGACTGTTGCTCGGTATAAAAGTAAGTTTAACATTCACGGAGATACAAAGAATTCCATGCTTCACGGCCTGGGGCTGACACGGCTGTCTCTGAGGTGTGCCTACACTGTCCAGGCATGCCTGCCTCCTACCTGGCTCTGTGTTCTTGGGCCCACATGCTTGCTTGCACAAGCTGCTGCTTTCTTTGACACAGCCCTCCTCAGCTGGGTGGATACATAGAACTACTGAAAGCTCAGTTTCCCAGAGAGGGCCTCTGGGCTCCCTCAGATAACAGCAGGTGTGATGGTTAATCTCCACTGTCAACAGGACAGGATTCAGGATTACCATAGAAACCGGCCTCTGGGGCTGTCTATGAGGATGGTTTGGGGAGGTTAGACCTTGGTGGCTAGACTCACCCTGAGTGTGGTCATGTCATCCAATGGACTGAGTTCTTAGACTGAGTGAAAGGAAGAAAAACAGCAGATCCCCAGTCCCCAGCGTTCAGCTCCTGGCTTCCTGGATGCAGATGCTGTGTGACCAGCTCCCTCATGTGTGTGTGTGCGTGTGTGTGTATGTGTGTATAATATACATTATATATCTATATAACATATAGTTATAATGCATATGTCACAATAATGTTATATTATTATATCTAAAAATTATTTTATAATTTTAATTTATAAAAATAAAAATATATAAAATAATATATAATATACAATAAATTATGTAATGTATACATAATACTATATATTATATTATAACTCTGCCTCCCAAGTGCTGGGATTAAAAGCATGTGCCACCACCATCAGGCATGTAAATATTTTTGGAGAGTAGAGGTTTGCTAAAGGGGTCCCGACCCACAGGTTGGGGACTGTAAGTGGAAATGCTTGGCTTGGACTCTGCATACCAAGTACCATAGGTGATTGGAGGAGTTCTGATGGGGAGGTGTTCGGATCAGTACCAGCAGGATTGGAAGGCACCATGTGAGAGGCCTGGAGCGTGTGCACACGGAAGCTGTCTTAGGGTCACTTCGAAAACAAATCAACTCATGTCATCAGTGTCAGACTCAGTCTGCATCATAAAAAACACGACCACACTGACACTGAGGACGGACCAGGTTCAAGGTACCTGGCTCCAAGCTGCTTTTTGTCTATTAAAAATAATCCAAAATATCCTGGAAGGACAAATACTTGTGTATCCTGCGGGTAGTTACCTGGATTGGAACTCACATTTCTGAAAGGGGATTCCCACTGTGGCTTCCTGGGGTGAATATTTGAAAAGTAATACACTCATTCTGATCTATGACTTCAGAATATTGGAGAATTCTCTCTCTCTCTTTTTTTTTTTCTTCTAATTGTGGTGTTTCAAATCCTTTCCTTTAAATCGGGGAAGAAACATGAAGAAAAGGGAACTTTATTTCTAGGTAATTTGTGTGTATGGGGGCAAAGAAATTAATCTTTTATCTAAAGTTATCACTAGAAGGTGTGTGTGTGTACATATTTATATATATATATGAATAGGATCCTTGAATAGGATGGCTGTTCTCTGCTTGTTTTATCGGCTCAGCTATTCAGTAAGTTTTTACAGAAAGCCCGATGTGCACAGACCGTTCTCCCAGTGCAGGAGGAAGGCCAGTAACTCTGACAGTGTGCCTCTACTTTCCCCAAAAGGATGAATCAAGCAAGTACAGGGATTAGCACCCAGACAGCTAACTGACACCTCTGGGGAAGGAAGCAGAAGGCTGAACGTTTTAAAAGGAGGGATTTAAATGCATGTATATTCCACCCAGACCTGCTCCTTCTTACCAACTGAACCAATCTACAAGTTACAGAAAGGACTTCTGAGGTTAAGTCACCTCACCCCCAGCCCCCCACCACTTGAAGTGAACTTGACAATGTCAGAACATTTTCAAAAATAGTTTAAAGAGAAAGAAAACTTCTCAAAAAACAAAGAAGTGATGCTTACTGTCTGCCACTCGGTGTTCAGAGGACGACTTCCTAGATTTACCACAGTCAACCTTCACGGCTTGGGGATAGCTAATGTACCCATTTTTATGAGAGAGGGAGAGAGAGAGAGAGAGAGAGAGAGAGAGAGAGAGAGAGACAGAGAGACACACACAGAGACACAGAGAGAGAGAGACAGAGAGAGACAGAGACAAACAGAGAGACAGAGGGAGGAAGGGAAGGAGGGAGGAAGGGAGGGAGGTAGGGAGGTAGTAGGGGCTGAGATACAGGGCTCAAGTCACACAAGGGACAAATCACATAGCCAGGAAGCAACAGGGCCAGAAGGGGAGCCCGAGGGAGCCGGTCCTGATCCTCTGTTCCCTTCCATGATTACAGATGTTCCTCCTTCAAAGGCTACCCCTGAACACAGCACTTGTTGTGGAGAAATGTTGACCCACTAGCTTGATTTCAGATTTTGTGGTCTGCATGAGACTCAGCATGTATGTGGTGTGGACCTCCAAAGCCAGGTCCCCATCACTGGGCATTGATGTTTTCATTGTCTAGTAGGGCCTATCACAGAGGAGCATAAAAGATACTTGTTGCATCCGATTTAGGCTGATGGAAGGGGCTGGCTTTGACAGCCCATGCATGCATACCTATTCTGTTCGGAGAGATACAAATCAGTCTGACCCTTGGAAATCTTAAGTTTTGCTTAGGTGTCATTTTGATCAGCGTGGCTATTGGACACAAAAGTCACCGGCCTTACCTACGAGTGCAACCAAGTGTGTCAGGCAAAATCTGTTTGCCAAAGCAATTAACTCCAGGGGGTCCAGGTCCAAGTTGGGCGACAACTGCTTGGTGTAGAGGTATTCCAACACCGCCTGCATCGACATCTTGTTTATATTTGGGAGGTGAACCTGCAACATTGTACAGAAGGCTCAGTGCTGCTGCGGGAACTGGGGGCTCGAACGGGACTCAAGGGAACTGGGGGCTCGTACAGGACGTGAGGGCTGCACAACTTCAGGCTAGGAGGCTACGAAACATCCCAACCATGTGACCTAGTACCTGGCATCTACAGGTACACCGCTCTGAGACTATGCCCAGAGTACCTGCTGTCGGTATTTATGGCTGTAAACATTAACAGTTTGATTTGTAGGGGACAAAGAGTGTTGCTACCTGTCAGAGCCCAGTGCGGAGTTTTTAAAATGGCTATCTGGGCGTATAAATCAGACAAACAGGTCGTAAATGTGTTATTACATTATTGGCCCACCCTGTCAAGAGCCTGAGGGTACTCCGCTGTGGAGAGAGAGATCTTCTGGCAATGTGACAGATGTGAGTTGCTGTTCCTGGCTCCAGACATGATTGAGTCCTGCTCTCAGGGGGCCAAACTGGCGGAATGAATGACCACACCAGCTGCCATGGTGACAGGCTGCGTTCTGATGACCCATCAGCATCTCCCAGCACTGTGTCTATACTCAGTACTTTCTCCCACAACCACATGGGCCCAGAACTACCGATGTATCACTGGATCTCAGCAGACCCAGAGTAGCCAAAGGACTCTTCTGTGGTACATCTGGAGACACTGTTTTAGTTGGGTGTGGAGCACGATCCCTTGCAAAAGCCTGTGTCCCGTGTGTCTAGAACTATTGTTATACATTACACTTTCTAGGAATGACCTGAGGCCTCAGCCCTAGATGGAAGAGGCGGGGACACAGATCAGTAGGGATACAAAGTCTATTTCAGTTCTTCGCTAACTCCATGTGGTGGTTTGAATGAAAGTGGCCTCCACAGGCCCATAAAGAGTGGCACGATTAGGAGGTGGGGCATGGCCTTCTTGGAGGAAGTGTGTCACTATGGGTGGGCTTTGAGATTCAGAAGCTCAAGCCAGGCCCAGTATCACTCTCTCTTCCTCTTGCCTGAGAATACAGATGTAGAACTCCCGGGTCTTTTTCCAGCCCCATGTCTGCCTGGATGCTGCCATGCTTCCCACCATGATGATAATGGACTGAACCTCTGAACCTGTGAGCCAGACCCAATTAAATATTGTCCTTTATAAAGAATTGCCTTGGTCATAGTCGTGATGTCTCTTCACAGCAATAAAACCCTAAGACACTCCACAAGGCGGACACAGATAAGGTATAGAATGACGTCCTTGTTCTTCTGACTGGAGTGTTACTTTAATAGAACTTCTGCGAACAGCTTTCAACACACCCCGTCTAATTTGATCCTTCCATCTGTCCCAGGAAGAAGAGACTATTAATTTTGCTATTTTACGGACAAGGACACAGCAGTCAAGGAGGCCGAGTTTCACATCCAAGGTTGGAGGGTTAGTCAGTGGGGACTGACACTTAAGCCCAAGGACTACATTTCTGAAGCTCACAGGCTGAAATGCTGTGTAGACTGGGCATCTCCTTATGGCAACACTTTGAGTTGTAGGCCAAGAAAGCCTCTGATTCACAAATAGCTCCGAGAGCTAGAGTTCTAATTTGAAAGGATGAACCATTATAGACTTCTTAATGGTGGCAGTTAATGAAACAGAATAAAGCATATAAAATACACCCCCTCAAAAATATATATTATGTATGTATGCATGTATGCATGTATGTGTACATGCATGTATGTATGTATAATGTGTTCTTGCATCTCTCAATATTCATGATTATATCTGTGCCAAAGGCTTAGTCACTTCCTATACAAACTCATGTAAGGAGAGGCTGCTGAGGATGAGCCCATGCACACACGCCTGCATCTCTTTCACATTCTACGCGAGTTCATGGGTGAGCTTTGCAGAACAAAGCTATTGCCATTGTTGATGTTATTCTCCTGGGCGGTCAGTCACCAGCCACGTCTGAGGAGGAATACATTTCCAGGTAGAGTTATTTCTGCAACATGTCATGGGGAAGACTTGGAATGAGCTCTTAGAAATACTAGGTGGTTAATCCCCCGTTCTCAGACACAGGCATGGAAAACAATAGTTCCCTGAAGAAGCCCCTGGGTCATCACCACTGACTGTCATTTCAAGCCCCTGGCCCGACCCCTGTGATGACAGAATGTAAGGAGTCAAAGCTGGTATTATTATCTTAGAGTACCACCAAGCTAAGACTGCCATTTGCTGCTGACAGCTCCACCTCTCCTGTCCCTTCAGTTTCTAGGACAGACTGTAACAACACATACTGATACACCTGTCATCTGCAGATATTGTAATGGCCCTCATTCCCTTCAGCTGTCACACCAGCAATAAGCTCTATCACTGTGCATCTAATGTTGGGTACACTTGTGTGCTTGCTTGCACGAACATATATGCAGAAAGGTATATGCATTCATACTGTACCAATAACGGATTGACAGTGTGAACACGTGGTGAAGATTTCATCTCTAGAACAGCGTTTGGGTTCCTGGGGGATTCGTTTAGGTCCTTGAATGCTAAGGTGGAGAACTTTCAAATTTGACCCATTCACAGTAAAAGCATCCATGTTTTACAAAAATCTAAGAGCTGTAATTGCATACGTCGGTCAGTGAGCGTCTGCTCTCTCAGCTATTGATGGGCGGGGGGCGGGGGGACGACTGCTCTTTTAGAAATGGAAGTTTCCAGTATGACTTTGAGGCGACAGGGTAAGAGTGTATGGGCTGGCTCAGAGGTATGCCAAGACATGGTCCGTGGGCACATGGGTAAGTATCGTGTGGCCCTTATCCATGCTAACAATACTTCTTCACTGAGGCTGGACTTTGGAATCTCTAAGACTGCCTTAGCTGTGTTTGCTAAGAGCGTTTTCGTACAAAAAGGCCACTTGGAAATACAGGCGTTTCCTAAGTAAAAAGGAGTTGTTTCCGGGAACAGGGAGACAAGAGTCCAGTGAGCACTGCCCTGGTCCCCTGCGTCCTCAGAACTGTTCTGATGTGTGTAATCTCCAGCGACCAGATGCTTCCCTTTCAATGATGTGATGTCAGCACCTTTGAAGTGAGGACTCATTTTGGCAGGTCATCTTAGGGACTCTTAGGAGTCACCGAGGAAGGAGAAACACCGAACCGTTTCCTAACATGCATTTCTACCTTGTTGCTGATTGCTTTTCATCAAACAAAACAAAATAAATCCTGTTTCTGTGATCTCCATGCTTACAATTAGCAATGCAACAATAGGGAGGACCTGCTCATAGCCCATGAAAGCAATCTGTACGGAGCCACAAGAGATGAAACACGGCTGGCCACACCCCACCTACTCAAGGCAATGCCAGAAAATGGTGGCGTGAACAAAACATGAGAGAACTGCATCCTCATCAAGGCCTTGTGTTCCTCTTTAGTCGGTTTAATGGTGACGTTGTGAAGATTAGCTCAGACCATTAGGGCTGTCATTACAGACCTTCTCACACAGAATGAATAAGGATTCCAGAGCTAGCCCATTGCTTACTGTAACCCCGGCATGCATTTGAAACCGATGGCTTGCCAGGTACCTCGGTGGGAAGGAATGAGGCTTACTGCTATATTAAAAGTAATGAAGGAAAAAAAAAAGGTAAAAACGGTAAAATAGAAATGTCTTCTTCTATATTAAGCAACAAAAGGTAAAGTGGTATCCGTGGCTCTCTGTCCTGTTTTCTGCATACACGGGTATAAAGTTCCTCTCTGTACCCTGAAATAAAAGAAATGGGCTGACTTTCAGGGGCCCAAGTCAGAGATCCCCAAGACAAAACAGACTTAAATAATGACCTAGAAAGGCTGGGAAGATGGCTCTGTGATCAAAAGCACTGGCCGTTCATACTGAGGACGGGAGTTCGATTCCCAGCACCCACATGATGGCTGGCATGCGTCTGTAACTCCATTCCTAGGGGATCTGACGCCCTCTTCTGACCTCCTTGGGTACTGCATACATGTGGTACCTAGCCATCCTGTGCAGGTAAAACAGCCATATACAACAAAAGTAAAAATAAATCTTAAAAAAAGAAAAGGGACTTTTAAGAAGATGACTTAGAAAGGCTAACGTGCAAGGAAGAGTGAGGATGGAGTCACGTGCTTCCTGGAAGACTTAGTGAGCATTTCATGTGTGAGGCTTAGTTCTCTCTGTAACCACCAATGCCTCCTTGTCTTAGATTAGAAGTTGGGCTGGCGGCTTCACCCGGGCTGTTTCAGGATGAGCATCCTTACCCCCGGTGAGAGAACTTAAGGGTAGTGACAGCATTTGCTGGCCACTGCATATGCTCCAGGCATGGCACGCACACTTCCATGCTCTTGGGAGGACACTCTCCTGCTCTTCTTGTCTAACAGATGAAGGTTTAGAGAAGGCCGGCCGCTGGCCCAGGTCACAGTCACACTTAGATAAAAGTTCAAGAACACCTCTTATGGTCTCAGAAACAGTGAAAAGAGACAGGGGTTGGGTAAGGTGGAAATGTCAATGGGGGGTGTTGTTGTTAGGGATCATGGGATTTTGGTGACATGGGGTTGTGGTTTTCTTTTCTCCCCCCAGGGGCTGTAATCTCTGCCGGGTTAGTTTTAGCTTCAGTCCTCAGAGGGGAGAGCTAGGACTATGTCCCTCCAGAACCCTGCTGGACAGGGGGCCGCTTTTCCTGCTTTGGGTCACTCACCACATAAGGCATGTGTGTGTTCACACGTCTGCTGCTAGGTTTTGCTTTGGTCACCTCCAGTGCACATGTTAATCTGGAGCGATTAGAGTCCCTTCTGTGAAGGGATAAAGGGGATTAGCATCCCTCCCCTTGGGTCAGCTGACACTGTTGCTCTGTGACTGGGGTCTTGACCTTGATCATCAGGTTCCACTGAGCATAACAACACCGTAAGCTGGTGTGGAGGGGTTAGATGGATAAGGGGCCCACACCAGAAAATGCCAGTCATCCCAGGTTAGACGGTACCCTAATCTTTCCTGCAAGAGGGCTAGACTCTAGTCAGCATCAGTGCTAACCAAGACTTTAATGGCTAGCATAGACTAAATGCTCAGGAATTGCTTCATAAACATACTCTCTCACACACCTCACACCCACATCTGGGTCTGACTGAGTGCTTTACCAAGGGAGACTCAGAAGACAGAAGTCACTTATTCCTGGCAATCCAGCTTGGGGGTGAAGAGTTGTCTTGGGTCACAGGGCCCCTCTCTGAGTAGCTTTCACGCAATTGAGAAGCCTCTCATACCTTTGAGCACACAGGAGAGAGACTTAGCAAATCAAGAGACTGCCTGATTTCCTAAGGATGTCGGAAGGAGCCGCTGGGCTGTTTTCCGGGGTCTGATTAAGCAGCAGCTGTGGTTTGTTCTGGAAGGAGGAGGGTGGCCCAGTGACCTTCTCAGCCTCAGCCATTCCTGGCTTGTGACTCTAGGATTCTGTTTTTCTACTTGGAGACTCAAATGCAGGCTCCTGGGGCACAGCGGGGAGTCCTTTGTGCTCCCCCCTCTATGCTCCCCCCCTCCCCAGCACAGCTTTTGAAAAGTTAGCCTTTGTTTTCAGTATTTTTGAAAGTTGGAAGAGATGCTGAAATAAGCAGCCCAGCCCCTAAGGACAATAAACTTGATGGGGTGTCCCCTGTGGGTTTTTTTTTTTGGAAAAAAAAAAAAGATGTTAAGGAATACTGCAAAACTCAACTCGCCCCACCTATACTTTGTTAGAAGTGCCTGAATGGAAATTTCTTTTTCAGCAGTGTTTATAGAAAGATAAAGACAGTGTTTTTAAGAGATTACCTGGGACATTCTAAAAAGGTCTTTTTTTATTTTCTCTCTTTTTTTTTGGAGGATAGGACCAGTCTGCTTCTGCTGGACTCCTGCAGCTTGAAAAGTGTGTCCAGAGCAGTGAACACTCAACTCAAGTCCCGTTTCCTTTCACACACACACACACACACACACACACACACACACACACACACACTCTCCTAGCCTGCCAGCAAGGTGGAAAAATCAGGGTTTAGCCTCCAACACTGTGGCTCACAGATGGACGTCTCGGATCACTAGGCATATTCAGCAGGTTCCAGAGGCTGGAAAGACTGGGTTGGGGAAGGTCTAGTTAAGGATGATGGCGGTCCTCCATCGACTAAGAATCTTTTACTTGCTCAAACTCCTAGAAGATGGTCTCTTATACTTGCTTTTGATAGATTCCTGCCTGTTAATGTTTGTTAGAAAGCATGGCTGGTCAAGACTTTTTATTAGTGGAAGGTGTGATAATATACCCTTATGCTCTCACACCAGTGACCGATAGCCTACTATTCCCCATTGTTGGTATCGGGCTCCGAACCCAGTGACATTACATCTAGGCGCCATACATTCCCAGAATCCACCTGGCCACCTCCCACCTTTACCTGAGAGAGGCTATGTCACCGCCCATATAAAACAGGCAGAACCCCTTGACCTCTCTCTCTCTTCTTCCTCTCTTCATCCTCTCTTCTCCCACCTTCTTCCTCTTCTCATCTTTGCCCCATGTCCTGAATAAACCCCACTTGGTACCATTTGCTCTGGTGTGGTCTGTTCTAAGCCATGCCCGGACTTATTTCACTCATGACTGCAGACACAGCAAATGTCTACACAGCAAGTGTCTATACAGGAAGTCTCGCACTAAAGAACAGCCCGGGGAACTATTTCACGGAAGCTGGTAAAGGGGAGCCATCCGGCTACTTGAAACAAACGTACGTACCTCGCTGTTGGTGCTTTCTACAAAGGACCCCCCGAACATGGCGGCCATCCACTCGCAGCTACAGATCAGAAGTGGCTTGTGGGCACTGATGGCTCCGTCATCCAAGGTAAATGTCACATCTGCCAAGGATCAAGGGGACAGGACTGTGAGACAGCCTTCTGCTCTGGGTACATACATTAGCTGGTATCTCTCACACTCACTCCATATTTTTTGCCACATCCGGCCCCCACACCAAGGAGCATACACCGGGAAATTGTATCCAGGATCACACCACAAATTCTCAGAGCCAGGAAGTAGCAGAAAGGAGAGGATTATCTTTTTGAGTTTTCCATTTTGGGTTCCTACAGCTTTTGACACATGTACACACACATAATGACACCCCCGGGGACAGAAGATGAGTTTAAATGGGAAATCCCAGGTATGTTTCATAGGTGCCCTGTATACACATCCTGCTAGTAATTTCAGCCAACGTAGACACGGTTCATTGTTTAACTTACTCTACAGTTGTAAGATAGTCTTTTTTATTAACATCCATGATTGTGTCTATATCCCTGTGCCTGGTGTTTGAAACAAATGGGTCCACTTTAATTTTTTGTCCTGTCAGGACAGGCGTGAAGCTTACCACATGCTGACATCCAAAAGAGTTGGAGTTTGGAGCATTTTGGATCTTGGATTTTCAGGCTAGGGATGGATGGTCAGCCTAAACAAGGCTTGTTCATCTATTCTTATTACTGGTTCGCCACATGTGTCCTAGGTATATAGCTGTCGCTCTGTCTCTGTCTCTCTCTGTGTATGTACGTGTGCATATAAGCATTAACTGAAGGTTATGGGTCACTTCATTCCTGGTTTATCATGAATGTCTAACTACAACACTTGAAGGACGTGTGCCGTGATTTATTATAGCTAAAAAACTTGAACAACGTTCCAGTGCCACCCATTATCTTGTTCAGATGTCTCAGTTACCCCTGAGTGACATGACAGGGGTCTCTCTTCCATACATGAGTCCTAGGAGAACCCCTGCCCCCACCCCGCCCCCGCCCCACTCTTGCCTGGCTTTGTCTGGGCAAGTTCGAGAGGCCTCAGTCAGCTTTAATGGCTGTCTACCAGTTAATCTAGTACCTATTCGCAAACACATTCTTTTCAGTAACATTCTGGGCCGCTTCCACACCATGGCAACCAATGTTTGTAGTAAATGTTGCTCCTTGCTTTGAGACAGACGAACAGGGTGACTCAGTATCTGTTCTTGTGGAGTTCCACGGCAGGGATTATGGAAGACAGACAGGAGCTCAGGAAGGCAGCTTTTTACTGTGGAGTCTGCTTCTCTCCTCCCCCCTTCACCCCCCCCAAAAAAAAAACTGAGATAAAGATTTTAGAATAAAAATAGTATAAATAAATAAATAAATAAATAATATTATAAATGAATAAATGTATTAGGCAGAACGATGTATAGGTCAGTACATCAGATGGGAGGCAGTCTCCAGAGAGCTTGTTTGTGGGAAAACGCTGAGGCCTATGAGTGAGGTAGTTATCCAAGATGGAAGAGGAAAGACCAGGGCCCAGGAGTGCAAGGGCAGAAAATAGACCAGGTCCCCCCGGGGCCTTTCTCCAGGACGCCTACTCTACCTGTGACCGCTGACATGAACTCAGGGACTAGGTTTCTGTAGTGACAAGGTTTGGCTTCTTGTCATCACTCTTGCCACTTCACTGACTTAGTGACCTGACCCCCTCAGGTCCTTGTTTCTCAACCTCTGCAAGATGGAAAGACCATTTCTCAGGTCTGAAAGCGACTAGCAGAGGTAAAGGTAAATTCCCTACTGTCTTCTCCAGTTCTCATGCCCAGCCCCTGACCCCAACCCCAGCCCTCAAAGGCCTCCATGGCTCCCTGGAGCCCTGCTCACCTGAGAAGGTGCCCTTGCTGAGACATTCTTTGATCCGATTGGCTTTCCTGACGTGAAAGGCTTTCGTGATCTCCTGGTTCATAAAGGCCTCCTTGTTCAGGATATTTTCTACCATCATCCTCAGGTCAAACATCTCCAGGACCTCGGCCATCTGAGCCAACCCCAGCAGGTCTTTTTCCTTCTCATCCAGCTGCCCAGAGTAGAGAAATCTCAGAAGGGTCCGGAAAGGGCCCGACTGCATGGACGGGTCCAGCCTGACCACGGTCACTGGGCCCACCCGCTTGGAAATGGGGTTGACCTGCAACTCCCTGTGCATGCTGACAAACCCCTTGCTCCAGCCAGCCAGGGCATGTGCCTCAGAACCCGAGGTATCGGTCTGCAAAGCCGGATTCTCCAGCAGGTCCTGGCCTGAAGAGGCTCCTGGGTCAGCCTGAGGGGTCCTCTGGGGGCCCTCCTTCCTTTCCTCAGCTGGTCCAAGACTCTGCGTCCTCCCCTGAAAATCCCTGCCTGGCACCTCCTCACCAGCTCCTCCGCCCCAACCCGGGGATTCTTCACACTCCATTAAAAAAAGGTCGTAGAATTTGGAAGAAGAGGTAGCGAGGTAAATGCGGTGAGCAAAGATGTGCTCCTGATTGTGGAGAACGAAGAGGACGTCGGCGCACAGGGGATTGTCCAGTAAACAGGCGGCGTCCCCGGTGGATGGACACTCGGGGACCTTGATGACTGGGGGAGGAGCTTTCGGAGGTAGGAAGGGCGCCTGAAGCAGAGGCTTCTGGACTTTTTTCAAGTGGGATTTCCAGAACTGCAGGTGCCTGCGGGAGATGAGGGCCGCGCGGATGGCATTGTCGAACACGTCCTTGATGCCAAACTGGTCAAACACGCTGGTCTCGTAGTATGGGATGCCCAGTTCCTTCGCCACCTCGCGGCCTTTTTCTGGGGGCAAAATGTCTCCTTTCTTTATGGGCCTAAAAAAGGAAAATTAAATAAATACATACAGTTTTTTTTTTTGAAGGGGGAGGGAAAGGGAGAGAGTGTCTAAATTCCCAATAGGATTATACAATTAAAATCCCATGCACGTCTTACAATTTTGTGTTTAAAATCCTGTAAGGCTCTTGAAAATGCATAATCAACAGTCACTCAAAGATAAGGGATTTATGGCCATAGTAAAACATATGCTGTTAGTAGTAACGGTGGTAATAAATTTTATTGGCTATTGTTACCTATGTGGTGTTGAACAAGCAGTCTAACCTCTTTAAAACTTGATTTTCCGTTTTTCAAACAGGTATGGCAACCCTGGACACCTTAAAGAAGAGGCTTAAACAGGACAGGAAATACACTTAGCATTGTTCTTGATAGACGGGAAATGCTTGATAAAACTTATCACTACCAAGCCTGGTAGCGCCAAATACCTTTAATCCCAGCATTCTGGAGGCAGAGGCAGGCAGATCTTTGAGTTTGAGGCCAGCTTGGTCTACAGAATGAGTTTCAGGATAGCCAGGGCTACATAGAGAAACCCTGTCTCGAAAAAAGAAAAGAAGAGAAGAGAAAAGAAGAGAAGAGAAGAGAAGAGAAGAGAAGAGAAGAAAAAAGAAATCACTCCTGTGTTAGTCTTTATCATCGCGTTTAATTTTTTTTTTAATAACTTCAAAATGTACCCACTTCTACTATCTGCGGGTTCTATGAAGTGCTATTTCATTCTGTAGTGAGAAGAAACAGGCAAGTTCAATCGCCTAGAGCACATCGACAAGCTACTAGAAACTTCTAAGTGGTTAATATCCAGACTTCTCAACTTTTGGTTCAGTGATTCATGTCCAGTGGCTTCTAAAGTCTCTCTCTTGGATTCACGAATCCTTTTCTGTATTTCCTCCCCTCTCTTTCCATCCTCCCCTATCAGCCTTTTCTTTGGACTGGTACCTCAGTCTCCTAGCTGGCCTCGCCTCAGGAGCTGCCCTTAGAGCTCGGAGTTCCTTCTCTGCAAGGAAAGTATTAAAATAACATGGGTAAGGCTTGGCCTGCAACTCTGTGTCAATTTCTCCTGTTTCCACAAAACCAGTGGAACAAAGGCCCTCACCCTTTTGGTCTGGCGCACAAAACTCATTTACAATTTAATCAGACCCAGGAAGGCCAATATAAGCAGCACAGTGCTGGGCTCCTGATGATAGCAGGGAGAGATTCCAGAACAGACGAGTTGCGATTCGCTACAATTCTTCAAGAAACACAACCCTCCGATTCTGACAAATGCTCTTGGAGACTGACCTTTTAAACACTTTGCCTTTGATGCAAAAAGTCATATGCTTCCCAGGCTCTGGCCCAAGGGAACAATGACAAGACTGGATGGAATTTGGATTTGAAGACCTGGACTGAGAGAGAGAAGGAGGGCGGGAGGGAAGGAGGGAGGGAGGGAGGGAGGGAGGGAGGGAGGGCACACCTCAGGGTGCTGACAAGGATGGAAAGATCCAGGGTAGAAGGTTCAACTTTAAGGCTCTTTCTGTGGGCCTTGGGTGATCTTTGTCCTTGGGGTTGGCTTGAAATTTGCTAGTTGATTAACCCCCCAAGCTTACAGCTAATACCTTGTTTCATGGAATCTCTAAGCTGTTCTATATAAGGGACTGTCCCGATGGTTGTTTGGACAGCTCTACTGTCCTCTCTTCAATCACCCCCGCCCCCTACCCGGGTGACTCTGGACATTCCATTCCTAGTCTGTGCATGTTTGAATGCGACCTGTTCTCACAAATTTTATCCAAGATGTACCGGGAAGCCTCGGAAATGGTCTAAGACTGTCTTGTATGCCATTGCTTTGAGAGCATACAAAGTGGGACCCAGAGGTTTTTGTGATATGCCAACTAGGTTTGAATACTGAAGCAAGGCATTGCTATCAGGATTCTGTGGGAATTTTTCTCTTTAGCAGAGGATATGGGTATGAAGCAGACATAATGGTTTTATCCAAGAGTAACTTCTGAGAGCATAGGTTGTAAAAGTTTTATTGATTTTATGCACTTTTTGAATATGGGTGTTTTGTCTGAATGTACACTTCAGTAGGGGGCACCAGATTCCGTGGGACTACAGTTACAGATGGTTTTGAGTCACCCACCATGTGGGTGCTGGGAATTGAACTCAAGACCTCTGGAAGAACAGCCAGTGCTCTTAACCACTGAGCCATCTTTCCAGCCCTGAGCATAAGTTTTTAAAAATTCTTATTTTTTTTCCCAAAATTGGTATTCATAGTGTGCAAATAGTAAAAGAAATCTCTACTTTTTTTTTTTAAGATTTATTTAAATGAGTACACTGACCTGTCTTTTAACACACCATAAGAGGGCATCAGATCCCATAACAGATGGTTGTGAGCCACCGTGTGGTTGCTGGGAGTTGAACTCAGGACCTCTGGAAAAGCAGTCAGTGCTCTTAACCACTGAACCATCTCTCCAGCCCTACCTTTTTTTTTTTTTTTTTTTTTTTTAATTTTTTGAAGTCTGACACTTTGGCCGGGCGGTGGTGGCACACGCCTTTAATCCCAGCACTTGGGAGGCAGAGGCAGGCGGATTTCTGAGTTTGAGAGTTTGAGGCTAGCCTGGTCTACCGAGTGAGTTCCAGGACAGCCAGGGCTACACAGAGAAACCCTGTCTCGAAAAACCAAACCAAAAAAAAAAAAAAAAAAAAAGTCTGACACTTAATATAAGGACTAGATACATTAAAAAGTCATATTTGTTTTTCTTTCTTTTTTTCTTTTAATATTTCTCTCTCTCTCTCTCTTTCTTTTTCAAATACAACTGCATATGATTTTCAGGTGTTTTGCTCCTTTTTGGGGCAGGGTTTCACTGTGCAGCCCCAGCTGACCTTGAACTTGCTAGTAAACCAGGTTGGCCTCAAACTCATGGAGATCCACCTGCCTCTGCTTCAAAAATGCTGGGACCAAAGGTGGGCCTCATCCTGCTCAGCTCTACCTGATTTTGAAACAAAATTGGACATTCATAGAGGCCTAGTGCTATGGAGGTGTGACTGCAGCTACTCAGGAGGCTGAGGCAGGAGGATTACAAGTTTAAACCTGATCTATGTTACCGAGGAAGCTGTGGGCCAGTCTAAGAAATTTAGTAGGACGCTTTCCCCATCACCGCAGCTTGAAATAAAGATTGAAGAGAAGACTGACATTACTCAGTGTTAAGAATATCTCCCTAGAATGTGGAAGGCCTTGGCTTCCCTCTCCGGTACTACACAAAATATTAGGAGTCAGAAAAATACTAGCAATACTCAAACCAATCTAGACTCGGTTGTGGGAATGAAAGTTCAATTTTGTTAGGTGTGATATTGGCCCAAACTGGGGCTCATCATTCTGAGCTTTAGTTTACTTTATTCTAAGTAGGCACGGTGGCAAGAAGGAGGCCATTTTGGGTGGCTAACATCTTGTATAGGACTTTATTCAAATACAGTACCAAAGCATTACCTTACACCCCATGTCATACCTTGGAATTCCTCCCAAGCACTGGCTAACTGCTTTATGAGACTGGACTGGGTCGTGAGATTATCAGCACAGTCGATTCAGGATGAATGGCTGACTGAGTTTGCGAAAGCCTATGGCTCATAGGTGTAGCCTTGGTGACCACTGAAAATCTGAGGTGTCTGCAAGCTCTGTTTCCTCACTCAGGTGCCAGACAAAAGGGGGGGTCCTCAGCTTACCTTGCTAAGGGGCGTCTGGCCCGGTTGACTGCCTCCAGGTCAGCATAGCGGAGGTCTAACTGGCAGCCAACCAGAACCACAGGCGTTCGAGGGCAAAAGTGCTTGATTTCTTGATACCACATGGTTTTCACATGATTTAGGGAGTTGGGATTCGCGATGCTAAAGCAGAGGACCACAACATCGGACCTGAAAGGCAACCGCAGGAGAGGCTCACACGTGTCTCTGTAGCCCTCACGGTCCCCCCGCCCCCCTTCTCCCACTTATTTAATGACGTCATGTCACAGTGAAAATAATATTTGAAACCAGGGCTGGTTATTAAACCTATCTGAGTCATGCAGACAGCCCGCTAAGCCCCCCACATTGGCCACTCGGCTGTTTTTCACTTCTCACTGTGGAATGTGGATGCACTCAGGTTCCCCCCCCCCCCCCCCCCGGAAGTGTCTTTTTCCCTCTCCAAGAGATGGTCACCCAGAGTAGTTCGGTCCTGGAATTCCCAACATGCCGGAACTATTTCTGCTCTCGAGAAATAGTTGCAAGATGAGAGGAAACGATAAAGACTACCTTTCACCCACTTCATAAAACACAAAAGGCGAAGATGACCCAACCCAATGAGAGAAAGCAAAACAGCTGGTGAGGAGGTCAGCGGTATTTGCCGAGGGCGCCAGCAAATACAAAGAAGGATGTCAGCCCTTCTTGCTCACGCACACAGATACAAAGCACAAACCCTTTCTTATCTGCTTCCAACCAGACAAAACCTGACTTGGCAGGAATCTGGATTTCTATCTTTTCTTTTTTAACTAGGTGTAAAGTAAGAAAACGAAGTAGATTGAGGGCCGATAAGGTCAGACAGTACTGGAAACAGACCCCTCCCATGTTACAGGTGATCCACAACGGTACGTGGGGAAAAGAATAAAGAAAGAAAAGACTTCTACTTAAAATCGAAGACAGGAGCGTCTATTTTGACCGTATGACTTACCGGTCTAGAAGTCAAAGAACTGTTGTGTAAGACAGGCTGCTCAAATACGGTCCTTGATAATAGGTGTCAGGCAGGGATAATAACCCCCCTTAAAATGTGCTGAGTGATGATTTTTTTTTCTTTTTCTTTTTCTTTTTTTTTTCAAAGAACAGCCAAGCAGGAGAATCGAGAACAGGAAAGGTTATTTTCAGGGTGTTGAGCCTTTCTTATCAATAGACTCAGGGGTTTATGAGATTAATTTATTGCCTTTGTTGTTTATGTAACGGGAAGAATCAAGTCTATGAATTAAAGAAAAAAAAACCCTTCTTAAATCATTAATGAGCTCTTCTTCCTACATATCAATGGGGGCAAACAAATATATGCAGGCAGCCGTAAAATTTCTAAAAATAGTCATTTGCGATGCAGAGCTCAGCGGGGTACTTTCAATAAATGTAATTTTCAAGTCGAGTCTTTCCATGTATCTGCCCGAACTTTGGGGAAGGGGGCAGGGGAGGGTGCGGGTATTGGGTCAGATATAGCAAACTGAAAAGTCCCAAGTTTAAGATGTTCTCGAATTACAAAAGAAAAGCCAGGACTTAACACAGATTCTTTTAGTGCTCTGTGTAATTAGGATATTCTCAAGTACCCTAATTGAGTAAAGATAGTATCAGAGCTTTCTGGAATGCTGATAAGTGTAGAAATACACATAAATATATAAGTGCAAAGGAGAGGTAGCTTGTCTTTGAGATTTTGATTTACTAGGATATTCTGTGCTGTCTTACTTCCAGTCAGCATACATAACAGTATCCAGTAACATGGAGACTGTTTTGAATATTACTTTTTTTTTTTTTTAAACAGTAGCTTTCTGTTATTCACCTCTGTGTTTATACTGGGTATCTAGTGATACCCAATCATTAGGTTGAGCATCTAATGATTCAGCATGTGGTTCAGCATCTCGGACAAAGAATTAAGCAGATGCATCCAGTTGTTGAAATTGAGGGCTCCTTTGTGTGTGTGTGTGTATGTGTGTGTGAAGTATCTGTTGTGTGTTTATTCAAATTGCTGCCACCAGTTTCCGTGTTAGGGCATGCAGCTGTTAGGGGAATCATTCTGCGGACTTCATTTCTGTGACAGACATGTAACTAAACGTCAACTCTACCATCTCATTTTATGAGGTAGCAGAATGAGTGAGGTTTTGAAATCCAAACTGGCTTGGTTGCCACGGTAACTGTGAGATCGCTCATGCCATGAAACACATAGGAGCTATTATCCAGATGACCCAACAGTCAAGTCCAGGCAGGACCTGGGGTGTGGAGTATGTGTGATGGTAGTGGACAGATAGGATCTTCTGAGAGCAGCACAATGCAGTGACACAATGCAGGTTCAGAGGTACCGTGTCTTACCATGTCGCTTCAGCAACTAAATGTTTGAAATCTGTGGAAGAACTGGGGAAAGATCCAGCGTTCTGAAGACATGTAACTTGAATAGGGAACGATACTATCATTGATGTTAAAATGACCCAGTGAATCAAAATTTTTATATGTATCTTAGGATAAAGTTGGTTTTTTTTCTCTTCTCTTCTTGCCTAGCTGCTATGAAAAATCCAGTCCCATTATGTCACACTGAAGTCAGTTAAGAGTAAGATTAAACTTTAACTGTTCATTTGCTTTTGTTTAACCCAAGTTGATCTAAATACAAACACGGGAGAAACCCAGTTTGTGCTCTCAGCAGCATTCTCTCGGAAGGTCTTGCCGCCCGATGGACAAATTCCAACAGAGGCTGAGAATCAGTGGTTGGAGAGATGGGGCCATGGACAGAGATGCCTCTGACACCTCTTCCCCAAAACCCTCTCCCAACCGGCATCTTCTGTGGTGGTCTAAGCACCCAGTAAAAGCAAGTCACTATTATAGAGAATACTGTTCATTCCTTCTAGATTCTCAGCTCCCTTCCCCTCCCCCCTCACTTTTTTTTTTTTTTTTTTAACCTAGTTGAAGAAGGCAGGAGATGGGCAGCTAAGAATATCTCCAGTTTCGGGCAGGATTCCAGGGAGTTTAAAGATATGCATTCTTGCATGGGGGGGATGCACCGTGTCTGACATAAACCCGTATTTTTAAAATGCCTCCCCTATGGAAGATAAAGATGGAGAGAGGACAGCTTCTAGAAGTTCTGCCTCTGTGGCTCTGGTACTGTTTTGTTTCAGTTTGGAGAGTGGGTTTAAAAATAATTGCGGAAGGTGTTAGGAGGACTCGTGCGCAGACTTGGCAAGGGTGGGTTGTCTGGAAATGACCTCAGGGTCTATTTTAGTTGTAGAAAGAACGGTAGGCTTTAAATAGAAGCCTCCAGCTTACCTGGGGTTGAGAACCCAGGAATTCGTAGACAAAGCCCTGGGTGTATTGAGCTTTAACCCGCACCCCACCCCAACACCAAATTTGAATAGTGAAAAGATGCAGGGGTAGATTTCAAATGTGTATTGTATTGATTTTTATTTTAAAAATTATAAGTGGTATAAATGGGCTTAGTAAACAAAGGCAGAAACACACACACACACACACACAGGCCAAGAATACATCCTTCTGTTCATTGGCACTTTGAGTGTGTGTGTGTGTGTGTGTGTGTGTGTGTGTGTGTATGTTTGAGTGTATGTGTTTAAGGGGGAAAAAAAACCCTCAATTTCTTGTTCCTAAGGAAGAAATATCAGTATATTTCTCTTGGGCACTGGCACATCAAATAATATCCACAAAGTAATATTTTGATTGTTTTCACTCCAAATTAGTCTGAAGTCAGTGTTAGAGCAATTGGGTGTGTCTAGCCTCAGAGAAGAGAAACAGGAATGGGAGAAGGACCCACTCACCCAAGACTGTAGGGGCCGAGGTCAACCTTGGTTGTCTGTTTTTCTTTGTATGTTAAATAAACCCCAGAACCTTTTCTTTCTTTCTTTCTTTCTTTCTTTCTTTCTTTCTTTCTTTCTTT